CTTCATGATGAAGAACATGTCAGGAGGAGAAATTGGTGGAAATAGTGCTCAAGTAAAGTGGGGCACAAAGAGCTTCCATATCCATATACCAGCAGGTCAATTTCTATGAGCATGTCCTCACAACTCAACAACACAAGTGAAAGTCAACTCACCTTAAGTTCATCTACAGTAGCCTTGATCTTAGCATAACCCATGTGTTGTTTGCCCATGAGATGGTCATCTACTCTGGACTGGGCATCACCAACTATGAGGAACGCTCCGCACACCTCACACACCTCCATCTGCTTCTCTTGGGAGAGGACTGCATCCAGAGCTTGGGTGGCTGCCTGGTGAGAGATGAACACATCACCGAGATGGTCAGAATGTGATGTCATGTGTGATAAAATCAGACAGATTGAACTCCAATACAAGTACTGGACCCTCTTTATTTTAGATTAAAGGTTTCTCTCTCCTTCGTGTCCAAATGATAAAAAACAAATCTCACCATCGCTGCATCTTCACTTCTCCATCTTCACCGCGAAGATCTTGAGGAGTTGGAAAACACATGGAATTGGACAGGGTCTACTTATTGCTACCCTCGGAGCAGCCATGCCCGTAAAGTAAGACTTTTTCTCCACGCCGAGACTTTTGTCACTGGGTCAGTTCCCGGTCATGCCTAAACCTGTACGACTGTTTTATGGTTGCTAATACATCCCTCAGGTTCCCTCTGTATCTACATTTCATTATGCTGCTGTGGAAATACAGTCATATCAGTCACAACCCAAACAGACGACCAGTCAGCACAAGTCTGTCAACAATGAGAACCAGTTCCTAATAGCGACCATATGGGCTCCTTGGGGTGACTGATCTTTCAAGACTCCTTACTCGGCAGTGGTTGGGGTCTAACCAATGGGAGTCTACAGGCTTGTAGTGTATGCCTAGGGTGAGGACAACATGGAATCTTTGCCAAGTTGGCCCAGTGGAAAAAAAATTATGACCATATTTGATGATTTCGTGAAACTTTCATCACCGCTCCGTTGACACCAGTTAAAGGTGTCTCAAACAGGACAAGACTATTCACACACTCTCATCATTCCCTGAGCCTCTTTAACCCTCCTTACTGCGTCTCAACTATAGTTTCTGGGCTTGTGGGGGCGGGGATAGAGCTTTGGTTGGGAGGAGGCGGGTGGAGGGTTTACTTACTGCTTTGAGTGTATCTCTCTCTTCTCTGAGCTGTTCACAAAGTCTCATGGTTCCTTGAGCTTCTTCAACCTCTCCTTGGCATCCTAACTCTTCTGCCTTCTCCACTAGACTGTTGATGCGCTCTGTCAGCAAGCGAATCTGTTCCTCATTCTTTGCTTGGTTGGGTGCGCTCAACTAGACAAAAAGCCAAGAGTGCAGAATTGTTTATTAAGTAGTTAAACATGTCTATAAAGCTGTGCTTTCTGCTCTGTAGTACGGGGTTAATTAACAAGCGATGTCTAATTCTTGGGCTGATTTTAGCACAGAAATTTTCGAAGACCTACAAATTGCTTATCAAAACAAGTTTCCAGCCAAATTAGTTTGCATTGTACACTGCTTGACTTTGGTTAATTCTGGCTTAGCACGTCAATAATTTCTGCTCACAAGGGTATTAAACCTCAAGTAACAGCAGTGGGACTTTGTCTTTCTCAGTCCTGTTGAATCCCCCAAACTTCCGGTTATATTGTTGGAAGGTTAGGGTTGACCTTAACGGCTTACCTGCTGCTGTGAATTGCTGAGAGCGAGTCTGGAATGGCCCTTGCGTATTCGCCGATCGACCTCAGCCACAATCTGTTGTAGATAGGACAGGAAGTCATCCTCATATCGTGCCCTCTCACGACTGCTGCACTGTTCAAATCTACAAAGGAAAAAATACACATCAATGGAAGATTAGCTAAAATCTGGAAATTCACTATTTTCCTTGAGAAAAGTCAAATTTTTGTCAGCAACTAACTACAATCTTCCCCTGATATATATGAATCCACATATGACATGAGACTGCCAAAGAAAATTATTTTGTTGAATTTTTAACTATTAGCAAGCTCATGCACTGGCTCAGAACAAAGCCAGCATCCACAGATTCTATGCACAAGTTTATGCATGAGTAATGAGAGAAAGCAAAAGATTCTCTGGTGTTGTGCAGATTTAGATGAAATTTGGGAGTTTTCTGAATCTCAGCTTCATCTTTGATATATTCTTCAGGCTTCATTTCTATGAATTTAGTCCTGAGTTGAGACAATCAGCAAACTGCAGCTTTATTGATCTGCTCTAGAAACATTCAATTGTCTGGTATTATTTTTGGTTTGTAACATTTGAAACTCGCCGAAGGGTCAGCTAGAGCTATGATAAAGACAAAGACGAGATCTGGAAAACAAAATTTTGATGGCCCACACTCATTCTCTTCATTTCCTTCTTTGGTTCTCCTTGTTTCTATTGAGATATTATTACTCCAGTGTTTTCCTTTTTGAAGCATCAAAGTTTCCTTGAAAGGAATATCTAGAATAGTGTGCATGTCTATACATATGCATATTGGTGGTGTGTCTATCTTGTGAATGGTAACACAATGCTATCCAAAGCAGGAAATATCATTTTTTTTTAAAAAGGTTTATGAGTTATGAGTGGTCTAGTTTACACTCAATCACCCTGTGTGTTTCAAGCATTGTCTGATATGAATATATCACTTCATTAATCATCACAGAAACTTACGATCTTTTTAACGATTCATCGTGGACCTTTTCACAGGGACCTACATAAAAAAGGAACACAATATAAAGTTCATCAAATATTTCATTGAAAGGCGCAGGATACTGTTATGTGGACAGTTTGTTGAATAATGTTAGCCAGAGCGAAGTTGTTATTCATCCTTTGTATTTGTTCTTACCAAGATCTGATCTTGTGTTGATAAAAAGTTCATGTGGGCAGAAACCACAGAGGAAATGCTTACACACCTGCATGGAGTATAAAAAAATCAATTTCAATGGACTGTGATTAATTAAAAAACATGAAGCTCTCAACTCAGAACACTGGTACTGTGTCAAGTTTCACTTACCAGTATGCTAGCCTTAACCACTTGGTGCCAGATGTAATTTGAAGTTGCATGACGTAAAACCAGGAGATTTTGAAGATTTTCCATTTTCAAAATTCTTAAAAAATCATAACTTCATTTGCTGGATGAATGACATGAATGACAAACAACAACTACTGATGCCCGAATATTTCAGCCAGGCCTGCCGCCTGTTTAAGAAAGCCCAGATTGTGCAGTGTTACCCAAGTTTCTTTTGTTTCCAAAACTGGCACAGTGTGCAGCTGACGTCTTTTCAATAATGGCCAGATTAGCATACAGTGGTATTGAATTGCTCATAACTGTAGCGCTGGAGCGCTTTTGTCCCCGCTCACGCTGAATGCCACAAACAGCGGAATAATCTTTCAAACCAATGACAGGTTTCCTCCGCTATTGACAACTGAGCCCGTGAGATTGAATGAGTGAAGGCATAAAGACTGGAAAATACCAAAACGTGAGTGAAATCATTCAATACATGGCGCTTAGAAAGCAGAGAGGGTAAGGATCATTTCTGTGTGCAAAAACAATTGCGCCTATGATTATAAGAGGGTGAACCGAACTTTTTCACCATGCCGACACGAAATTACGTGTACGGATGTGTGGCTAAGCATGCTAAGGATGGAGCGCTAGCAAGGATCCATGCGTGTGCCAGGCTAGTGGGGCTAGGACTAGGAGTTAATGACTTCGAGTTCTTGAACTTTAGTAGGCATAGGGCCTCATTTAGTAATTATGCTAGCCTATGCCATGTCGGCCTAGGCCTGTAATGCGCCATTAATTGCGTAAATGGCCACAGTATGCAGATGTACAGATTGTCGCCATTGATTGCGTAAATGGCCACAGTATGCAGATGTACAGATTGTCTTGTGATGAGAGGCAGCAGGGAAGTAAAAGCTCTGAATTAAAAAAAAACATTGGTTACACAGTCCACAAACCATTGGGCATGCCATGTTGGTCAGTTGGTAGTGAGGGCGCTTTTGTTTTGTACATAGGCCCAGGCGCTAGGCTAGGGCCTACATCATCACATGTTCAACAACCACACTGCCGTTCGCCTACTTGGCATGCATGGTGAAATTAAAGCACTCGACTTTTTCGCAAACCATGCCATAATTTGACACAAAAATGATTCCCTTCGTTAAAATGTTTTATACTTACCGATGGATGGTCCCATCTAATCTCTTTTGACCTTTCTGTGGGCAAAGAATTACGATTTTTGCCCATCAATTCATCGAGTAGTTGTGCCGCGGACTGCATTTTCGAAGCTACGCAGGAAGTAAGAGGTTGAATTTGAAGCTGGTGGCACATAACATATAAATGTGTAATTGCAACGGTGAAATACTTCGCCGGATACCAATAGCACGCCGAAAATCAACCTCGTCCTCAAAGATGGACTAGTTCATTTTTATACAAAGGGTAGTTTGGTCCTCACACGTAGAAATATTTCCACATTTCTAATCACAAACACCAAACATAATTCATGTATTACAAAACGTAATTTTCAGTAGAGTTTTCCTATTTTTACCGATGTTTTAGCAAAATGTGAGTAGTTCTTCAAGCTCAAATGTAGTAACATTTAGCTTTCGATATCGATTTTGGAAATGGAAGCAACCGCATGTATCGTCAACTTCACATCATGGGGCCGGTACACGTGTAAATAAAATACATGTAGTGATGTGCATGCTGTACATGAGAGTCGCTTCGGGAATTGGTACAACTAATATATAAGAAGTGGATCATTGGAGGAAGAAAATTGGGCCTAGCGTTATCAACACTCTTATCTGGTAATTTCTAAGCGTTTAGTTTTAGTGATGGACGATTCTAAGGATCTTGAGGATAAGTTCCGTGAAGCAGCAAGTATAGGTGATCAGGATATGCTAGACAAACTGCTTCAGCTCGGGGTAAATGTGAATGCCCAACATCGAATAAATGGATGGTAAATTGAATTAATAATAATTAGGCCTAGACACTGCTATAGCCTTTTACTATATGCCTATTGCTTTATACAATTTTAATAACATCTAGGCCTGTCGGCTTCGTAAATTTTCATTTCTTCAATGAGTTCTATATACGGACGTCACTGATTTTCCTTTACAGTGGTTTACTGGAATTAACCATCAGAAAGTGATCAAATGCCCTAGGAACGTACAGGAGGAAAGGGAAAAATGTTGCATTCTGACTCCACTTCAGCAGTTGTGTACAAAGGCTACTTGGAGTGAAGAGAATTTTCTATTTCACAACAACATCGGCAAATGTTTCTCAGTCCAGAATTTGCATCTTTTGAGCATTTCTGTAATGAGTGACTTATATTGAGATGATACTTGATGGGAAACGTGGAGTCAGGATGCAACATTTTTTCTGAGGAAAGAGTTCCATATACTTATACTAAAAAAAGTTATAGCCTAGGCTATAGGGCCTACAGATTTGAGTACTCCACTTGACACCCCATGCACAAACTTACGGTGTACATGTAGTTTGAGACTGATCTGAAAAATTTAATCTAAGTAGATGACTTGGTCATTATCCAACCTAAATTGCATTTTTCTGGACATGTTTTTGCTTTCTGAAGGCTAATAAAAGTAACACTAACTGTATATTCTTCCAATGCATGCCCCATAAAGTCAAATTTAGTCGTAAAAATATTGAAGCATTTACTTAACACAGCTTAGAATTTTCAGAGCAGTTTCCAGGTCGGGTACCAAACCACAATCTAGCGATGACGCCAGGCTATGCATATGTCGCTCGTTTGTGCAGTGATGATGTAATTATTGAACTATATTTAGATCACGGTTCACAGATGACATTAATCTCTTTATCAGCCCAAAACTCCAAAACCAATTCCTGTGATTGATCAAATTTACAGGAAACATACTACCCAAGATCTAAATGAAACTTTCCTTTTATTTGGTATCTATAAAAGCGGATCGAGGAGATTTTTCGGTCGAATCTTACTGTGGATGTGTCGAAGTCGGTAGACAGGCGATGAAAACATTTATGCGAAAAAAATGAAGCTTTGCCGAAGTTTACTTTATGCGTGAAAATGTTGCCATTAAAAATCTCCATCGATTCACCATGGCAAATTTTATATTTACTGTGGCGATTTTTCAAAATAGCGATCGAAAACAGTTTTGCCATAGACTCCTACGGTAACAGCAATGGCGGCCATGTTTGCTGCCGGCATTTCAAATCTCGTTATTTTCCCAAAATTTTTATTTCAGGACTGCCCTACACTGGGCCAGCAAACGTGGCCACCCTACCATTGTCCGACATTTACTGACCAATGGAGCTGACCGATCACTGACCAATGGGAAAGGAGAGACAGCTGCCCAGCTCACCGATAAAGAAGAAATCCACTCCTTATTGGGAGGTCAGTATCTGAAGAGATTGAACCCGAGGTTCTAATGCATTTGAAGCTAAGATGACAAACACGCTGGTATTAGAATGACGGATGAAGTTAAAAGTAGTTTGTGGCTTAGGCTGTTCTCATTCCACAGTGCATTTCTGCTAAGATTTAGTGATGTTCACTGATGCTTGATCAGTCCTATATTCATAGTACTGCAGTCCTAGGCAAAAGTTTGCAAAGAATTTTTTTTTATACTCACAGTGTAGGAAAAATAATGGTATTATTTCTGTTGTACGTCCGTTTCTGCACCCTCTGAATGTGAAAAAGCATACAAGGATCTGCTGAAGTTGTAAAGCATGATGCAGATTAGAATCTGGCTTATATTATGGATTGGAAGATACTACTTTCTAACATTCAAGAAAGCAATTCCATACACCCAATCAATTATGTACATGTACCTGTCTGAGGAGCTATGTTAGAGTTAGACTGGAAACCTTTCATTTCACAAATGGAAATGCACAGACTGAGCATTTTTTGCAGTATTTTTAGAGCCGGATCTTTTACAAGACCAGCACTTGTATGTATGTCCAGAGAGGAATATAATGTTACCATTGCACTTGAGATATTCAAATAGTCGGAGATGGATTTCTTTCTTCAGGTTTTTTTATCACATGACATCTATTTTGGGCTCTCATTCTACAGGGAAACCAGAGACACTTTCTAATTCTTCTTTGCCTATCACCCCAAACTACATTCGGCACCCACCATTTCCCTACCTATCCAAGACGAATGGAACAGCCCAAAGCCCAATGGCTAACACGAACCATGACCAACCAATCACAAGCAGAATATCTCATCTCTCATCTGAAGGTGGGTGACCATTAAAAAAACCCAAAGCTTTTATTTTACGTGTATATCAGGTGCTGGTTTTGTTAAAAGATTGTGTACACACAAGTTTATCATAAACTAAGACGCCTCAGGTCTCGGAAGCGAAGGCTTTACTGTTGGCCAAAACTAGCTGGTGTTCCTTCTTACAGTCAGTGGACATTACGTAACTGGCGAACCTGGGGTAGTCGCAGACTGTTTGCGGAGGAATCTTTTGCTTCGATCATGCAGAGTTTAAATATAATGGACTGCTTAATATTGCCAATTCCAGATTGCTTACTGTAGGATTTGTTACGTTCATGTATGTTAACATTCATGGATTGATTTTGTTAGTAAGACTTGAGAATGATCGGTTGTAATTGATTTATCAGTTCAGTGATTGATTTCTCATGTAATTGAGTATAAACAAGGTGATGATCGGGTGGTTGATGTGTTCCTCCATTTTATCCAAATCTAGAACTGGTGCTGAAAGTCCGGGTTGCCAACTCAGCTGAGACAGACTTCATCGAGATTGAGATTGACCGCAATGAACGGACATTCTCTAACCTGGTCTTGACGTGCTGCCGAGAGCTCAACTGTGAACCGGAGACAGTGGTCAAGGTTCGTAAACTCCCCAACACTATCCTCCGCAAAGATAAGGATGTGTGGAGGCTGACGGATTTCCAAGAGTTGGAGATTGTTCTACAGAAGTTCTCCGGTGGAACGCGACTCCAAAATGCCTTCCAAGAATTGATATACTGATATCAGTTATTTCTCAATTGATACCACCACGTTGTTGTGTACATGGTTGAATGAAATCCCAGATTTATTGAGATCTTTCAAAATCTATCTAAAACTATCAACTACATGTACATATAGGTATGTAGTTGTATCAAAAGCCAGGTCTTGGAATGTTTTGATGGATTCAGGACTGTACGGTTCCAGTAATCGATATATCGAAAGTAGGATTGACATGGATTGACTATCCCTTGTACAGAACATAAAGGCTACATACATACAGGACTTGATATTGAACTAACTGCAGTATTAGGCAATTTCATTAGTTTGAGGTTTGATCCACCAAATGTATTGTTATTTCAAATGAAATGTAAATTATACGACACCAAGAATTAGAGCAGAGAGAGAAAACAGCACAGGAATTCTGCTTCTTGCCATTTTCATGTTAACTGATTTCTAGCCACAGGCTTACTTGGCTGCAGCACTACAGTTTCTTACAGCAATTATCACGAGGTAAAACCCTGAGCAGGTTTATTTTGTTGATGGTTGGACATCCTTTTGATATTTTGGATATCATTGCCAGTATCAAAGTTTCACCAATTTGATATGATTAAAAGTCTGATTTAGGAGAAATCAATTTCAAATTGATATCAAAGAATCGAGCAATATCAATGGACCGCAGCCTCTGTCACCGGTACTTGACACACGGCTTGATGGCCGATTCATTTCAGTGGTCAGAATCCACTTTCTTTCTTAGAGACTGTTTTGGATTAGATCATTTTGTAGAAAACGTCCTGCAGAAATGTGCAGGGTTAGTTTAGTATGGCATTCAGGCTACCTCATAATCTACCACTACACAATAGTAGCCCTCGTTTGTTGAGAGCATGCATGAGTATTTCTAAAATGTGTGAACAAATTTGTTTGCATGGTTAACTGCTTGCAGTTGTGTAAGAAAAAACATTGTATATTGATTTCATTTTGAACATTCAGAGATGGTGGATAGCCTAACAGATTTTCTGGGATCCTCTAGAATAAGGTTGGTCAATCCCTATTCTGCTTACTTCAGCACTGACAGAAAACTACCGAATACTGGTTTCTCTGAAAGCCTTAATCCTAAGCAATAATGTGGACTTTCCATTGTTGTTAAAGTCTCCACATTAAAATTTCTTTGTATCCGAGAATCTTTGCTTATCTAATAAGCTTATGTCATTTTAAGTGTGATATATTCAGACTTTGAATAGAGGACAATTCATTTCAGTAGCTACATGCATGTGTAGATTGTGATTGTGCTTTCATGTCTGTGGCAAACATTCAGTGTTTTATACATGATCTGAATAGAGTGTGCACTCAAAACTGATGCCAGATTGCTGCATTTACTGAGATGCTTGACAAAGGTGACTTTACTACTCTTTCACTGCTCAGAACAGAAACATTACTGTCAAACAATGCATTGGTTATGTGGTGACAATCAACCCTGAAATCTGGACTGATTTTTCCCACTTTTGTCCTAATGTAGAACAGATTGCACAGATCAGGAACATGTGTACTCCATCCTCATTTCCATTATGAAAGTTTGCATTAATTCTCAGATGCTCAGGGTTCGTACACTTGGCACCACTTGAATGTCAAGGAGTTTTCAAGGACTTGCAAGATCCAGAATTCTTATCTTTAAAGACTTAACTCTAGCAAGTATACACATGGCTTGCCTTGCGATGGGGGGAGACATACATGTACAGTGGAACGCACAGCTTATGGTGTCTGCATTTGTCGAGGGCACCAATCCACTACTTACAGTGAATTTTTTCTCCACCCAAGTAACTGGTGAAAGTAGAGTCATTTTATCAGTTGATGACATATTTTGAAACCAGTCATCACAGAGCTGTGCATGAAGTAATAATGAAAGTACGAGCCATGAATCTAATAGTGTGACAAGTGGACCATTGTTTTGGCAGATAGGCCATGATGTCCCCGTAATAAGATTAAGTTGAGCGGAGGTTTTTGTTACGTCCAATTTATTCCATCAGTTCCTTCTCCCCTCACCCCCTTCTCCCAGCTTCAGAATCTTCTGTCTTCTGACATGTCTGAGAGTCAATACACGATGCAGTATGTTTGGCATATGAAGTTTAGCATGACCAATAACGCAGCATGATGGCTTTACCACGTAATCATATCAACGGTCTTTAATGGAAAGAAACAATAACGATGCCGTTCTTTTGCCAAGTAACAATGCATGTAACTGATTCCAGTCCGCAGCAAATGAGTGAGCCTCATTTGCAATGCTTGATTCTTTTGAAAGCAAGTTGAAATTTCACTTTAATTGATGAGTAATATTTAGTTCAATTTATTTACTCAATTAATTGGAAGCAAGTGGAATACTTCTTTTTACTGCACATGGGATTCCTGTGTGTATAAACTGAATAATTGATTGAATATTTAGAAAATGTTATTTTATATTTTAAGTGTGTATGCTTGATAAAAACTATTTATAAAGATGTATTCCTGTCTATGTAGTCAAGAATTGCTGCAACAGCCACAAGCATTATTTGGTTACTTAATTAATCGATCAATATGTTGATTATTCAGTGACTTGTTTCTATTTAATCAGATGTTTCACCATGTTTCAAATATCAAGGGTTTGTTTGGAAGGTGCATGAGAAGCATCATCTCCACCATTCCTAACACAAAACCTTTTCAGAAAGTACAAGTGGGTGGGATGTATTGTTAAGACAGTTTCCCTTTGAGGATTTCAAGAGGGACCGATTGCTTGGTTTTTGTCCTTAATTTGACCTTGACAGTCCTCTGTCCCTCCAACATGAAGAATGGAGGACTGAGAAAATTGGTATGCAGAAAAAAGGGCTACTTAATTAATCAAAATCATTATCCAAAACAAAACCAAAAATATCAACTTGTGGATGTAATCTTTGGTTTGTACATGTACTCAGAAAGTGATCACTTTGTCAACATACCAGCTATCTCTTGAAAAAGAACCATCTTTAAAGTAGCTTTCCAAACTGGACATGTTCCTGTTGTTTTTGGAATGCACCATTACAATATTGTGTGTTCTAGCTAGTGGGATGGGGGAAGATATGGGTGTTCTTCATTTGACTGGTACGGCGTTGGAACAAATTCCCGACATAAACAGTTCCATATTGTAACATTTGTTGTTTCAAGGCTACTCTTCACAGAACAACTTGTATTTTGAGGGGTACATTCCAAGCGGCCTGTTTCAAAATGCTGTACATGTAATTATTTCCATATGATCCATGTCAATTTTCTGAATTTGGAATTTCTGAATTCAGTGACCTACTAACAGTGTGCTATTGGGCTTGCACATGCATGTACATGTATGTAGGAGAAATCAATACCCACATGCATTTTTCCTTATACCATTTGGTAGTAAACATTTTTCTACTTTCTAAAAGGGTTCTTAAATGAAATAAAATATTGAACTTCAGTGAAAAAAGTGCATGTTTTTGCAAGTTTTTAAATCCAAAGAAAGTACCATAGGGATCCCAGGGTGTGGTAGAATTTGTAGGGTTGAAGACGGTTTCTTAAAGAGTCAAGACAAAGGCCATAATCAATGGTTGAAGAAGCTATCCAAGTTACTGTGTGTTAGGGTGTACCCTAGGGTGTTTTGGTTTTGTTTTTTTCTGTTTTGTTTTTATTTTGAGTTCATGAAATGCTCCTGAGAATTTTGACGTTGCTCAATGCACAGTTGGCTTCTATCTGTAGTATCCCTTTGAAGAATAACTGTAATTCATTTACTGCTCTGGACCACGAGATCAAAATCAATGAAAGTATCCTGTCATAAATCATGCATAGTGCTCTCTCATAAAGAGCAGAGTTACAAATACTGTTGTCAAGAGCAAATTCTGAGAATCCCAATTTGTGTTTTCTTTGTTTTTATGATAAAGTCCTGGTTATCACGAAGTAATTTGCCTGTGGCCTGGTCCCTTGAACTTTTTTATAATGAGAATTGACATCATGACTAGTAACAATATTCCTTGTTTATCTTTGGGATTTGCCTTCATCATCAGTCAGGACAGGTCAACAGTCTGGTTACTTTAGAAATGTAGATGGCCATTTTCTACTTGCAACTTTCTTGTCTTCCTTTTGTAGACTGTAAATAAATCGTGGATCATTTTTTTAAGATATCGTATTACTGTAACTCCTTGAGTGCTTGAACATTTCAAATAAAGCCAAAGGTTACACTGATCTGTGCTTGTGTTGAAAAGTCATTACTACTTTATTTTTGTTTGAAACAAAATGTAGAATTCAAGTATGTTTTAGCATTTAGCCTGTAATTTCATAGAATTTGAGTTTCTTTTACTTTCATTTGATAGAAACAAAGTCATGAATTCTTTGATGATTACGGACTTATCATATCTTTTATTTGACTGGAAATGCTATTTGTTACTGAAAGTAAAGTATGGTGTTTATTTCCTACAGGTTTGAACATGGTATGTGTCCCCTTCCACAAGACTTAGCTAATAACATTTAATTGGCCAAGTAGATTGATTCAAGCAAAAATAGAGTTTTGATAAACTGATGAATTGATAAATAAAAATCATTTATAATCAATAAACTTGTGAATGTCAATTCTTGCAATTTGTGTGTCAAGGCTTAACTGAACCAAATGTGTATGACAACTGAGGCCAACCGTTTGCACCTCCTTCCAACCTTTAAAATTTCATCCCATATCTGACACTAAGTTTGGATCTGATTTCCCCTGTGGATAGTTTGGCCTATGTTGTATAATGTATACACAAAACCCCACAGGTTTAAATACCTTGCAGCCTTTAAAATTTCATCCCAAATCTGACACTTAGCTTGGATCTGACTTCCCCTGTGGATAGTTTGGCCTATGTTGTATAATGTATAAACAAAACCCCACAGGTTTAAATACCTGCCCCAATCACAATACCATTAATAGTTAAATGTACAACTCAGAGACCTGCTTATGACATATTTGCCATTGTTATTCCCTCTTCTATTACCAACAACTGATATCCTACTTTCTTTGTGTTTTCTTTGCCAACAAATTCTTCGTTGATCGTTTTCCTGGTACCTTCTGCTTAGTTATCTTTACTTTCTTCAAGGGTGCAGCAATCTTGGTTTTCTTTCTGATCAGTCTCCTCACGGGTATCTTCAAGAGATCTTTGAGATCAACCACATCACCTTCAGTTTCAGCTTTCCGTTTAGTCGCTCTCTTCACATTCTTTTTGTCCTCCAAGCTTGATGACTGCCCTGTGAGATCTTCCTTCTTGGACCTTTTCTTGAATCTCTTTGCTTTGGCATCTTCTTCTGGTGTGATTCTTGGTTTGGTTGGCTGTTTATCCCCGCTCTTCTCAAGTTGTTTCTTCACTGTTGGGACAAACAAGTGGAGCAATGCAGTTAAGAGCTCTCTGTCAAGTCTACAGACTGTGTCCCTTGTCCCAGCCAGGCACAACAGCCCGCCTTGACTCTCACATCTCAACCATCAGGCTACACAGCGCTGGAAAATTCATACTTTATTTTACAATACTGCATGTATTGATATTTCCTGTGCTAAGCCTGCAGGTGGCATGCTTTTGATCAGAGGAAACCTATGCTATGTGATCAACACCCCCCCCCCCTTTTATATAATACGGCAATTGCAGGGGTGAGATTTTTCCATATTTTTCTCAATTTCGTGTAACATGTTTTCTGGATATGGATATTCTATTTGGCATGGCTGTGCTGAAACTATTAAAGTAATATATAAAGCAGGACTTGTACACGTTGAAGTTCAGATAGAGCCGCATTTGTATACCATAACTTCCACAAGAATGCAATGCTACGGAACTGTGAAGGTATATCATGTTAAACTGTCAGGACTCAACACAGACTCTAGAAGGGAACATTTGTTGTGAGGACGGGGTTGAGAATTGTTCTCCTTTTTGGGGGGGGGTGTGTTATCACTTTTCATGTGCTTTTATTTTTTTATCAAATGAGATTGAGCTGGGATGGGAACTGGTCATTACCTGACTGTTTGTAATTTTGAAAGGATCCTGACAAGAAATTTTTTTAAGGTTATTGCGAGAAATAAGACATTAACTTAATCTTTGAAATTTTGGTTATCGAAGTGTGTTACGTCTTCCTTACTCTAATTTCTTAGTCAGGGATTAAAATAACAAATATGTATGCCCCAAACGCATTCATTGTTTCCATGTATGTCTAAATGTTTTGCTCTTAAGTCAGGGACTTATGACGCAAATACACCAGTATGCAAGTAAGACTTTTATCTGGCTTTTGTGCCCTTATCAATTTTTGTAATTGGCCTTCGTGCCTGTAGCAGTGGCCTTGGTGCCCCAGGAAAGTTTGACTTCTCTGAGGTCAAAAAGTCCAGTTTGGCTTTGTTTAAAAATGGCCCACAAAATGACTCCATGTACAACCTCTTTCATGCAAACATTATTCTGTTTTGAGTAGACTTTTTCCCCTCTACCCAAAGTGTCACTGCCTTTTCTAGACAAATGATGACGCTATGAATTCTCTTCAGGCATGCACCGTTAAATTTCAGGGATTTTCTGTAATATTTATCCAACACTTGATGAACAGAGAAAAACTTAATGTTGAATTTCTTCGGAAATAAAAAAGACCTTGAGATAACTGAAGACAAAATATAAACAAACTCTTCCCAGCAGGAGAAAATGCATGCATTGTAAATTCAACTCACATCTCCAGATGTCTTGATGATCTATATTGGGCATCTGTTCCCACTTCTCAAACACAAGTGATGTGTGCAGTGGCAGCGAGACAGACTCGTCTGTCCTGACATACAAGGCTTTGATGTTTGGCCAACCATAGTGGAGGATGGATGTTACTCCTTGCACTGCTGCCATGATGTTCTCTGTTACTTGGTCAACTGTCATGCCGGTGTGAGCAGCGACTAAGTGACTGAAATGTTAACAGGTTTTTTTATTTCTATGAATTAATTCATGTGAAATCAACAAAACAGTGACCATGTGCACATTACACAGCCAATTGAAATAGACATTAAAACAGAAATGCAAGACAATTGATTTCATCAAGGAGATCATCTTACATTAACTCTGTAATAAATTCTAATTTTAAGGATACTCTTGAGGATATTTCTGCTGGGGAGCTATCTTGAGCTTGACCATTCAAGTTCTCCCACACTACATTCTTGAACTCCTTCAGTCTTTGGGCAATACAATGAGCATACATGACATGTTGAGTTCCCTGGTATCTCATCAACTAAAAAAATTGATGTAACATGAGGTGAAACAGCAAACTTAGCTGTAAAGCTTGATTCAACCTCTTTAACAGAACACCAAAACCATTTTCTTTCAATCTTCTGAGGGAAGGTAACCCAGTGGTTATTATCAATTCAAGGGTTCAAATCCTTCAGCTGGATAGAATGTTATGTCCTTCAAGTCATTCCAACCCAACTTGCCTTCCTCCACCTGAGAGTACAACTTCATGTCCAGCAGTAGCTGGGATGGATAGCAACCTGCAATGGACTGGCGTCCCATCAATGGGAGAAAAGAAATACCTGTATTCTTGGTCCTGTTATGCCTAGAAACCAGAGATAAACGCTGGCCTGATTTGCCAAATTGGATCAGGACAGACTTGCCTGCATTTCAAAGAAACTGGGACATCCAGACCCATGTAATACTGGCTGAGCTGTAGATTCCTGAATCCAACCAAATCCTACACCACTGGTATTACATGCTACAAAAGTGGGTGATGTCTGGATGGATTGAGAGAGGTTTTAGCATCCTTCAGATCAGAGAAAAGAGTGTAGAGATAAATGAAAGCTCACTTCAAAGACCTCAAACAAAAACTCACTTTGTGTTTCCACGATTGGTGAGGATGAAGTATGTTGGGTTGATGGCTTTCAGTATTTCTGCCTTCAAATTCACCTTCTTCATGTTAACAGTAATGGGATACCTACAGGTTAAGAACAAGTTGAAACTTACGTGATGTTTGCGCATTAGTGAAAGAGGACATTCCGTTGGTTAAAAAGGACAAGTGGAGAAAATTAACATGAAGCAATTTGCTTGTCTATGAGAACTGTTCATCTGTTTAAATTTGGGAATCAATATGAGAAACTATGGAAGACAATATCTTGCACGGAGACTGAGCCAAGTAGTGGAAGACTGCACAGTCAACTCTCGTTATAAAGAGGACACCTGTCATAAAATAGTCTGATGCAGAACAACGTCTGAGGTCCAAAGTTTCTTGAATTATTGGTTTTCCCAGTCTTTTATTACCAAGGCCCTGGTTATAATAAGCAAATGTCGCTGGTCATGGCAGCTTTGATATATTAGAGCAGACTGTACTTCACTACATCACAAATCCAAAGTCCTGTCACAGTGAACATGGGATGCATACTGACGAGGAATGCCATAGTTTAGCTTGCATAGACTGTGACCTGATTCTGAATGATTTCATGAGTATGGAGGACGAAAAGTAGCCATCTGTTTTTCTGCTATCAGAATAGTAGAAAAGCAGATTTTATGTTTTAGTAACACGTAGATTTTGACTTTTCTGTTACCTCAAAAAGTTGAACGAACATTGTTGGGTTATGCATTCTTCTATTTTTCTGCTTTTCTGCTTCAAAAAAAGCAGATTTTACTTTTTCTTTGTTCACTGGTGGCCTAAAAGCAGCCGTCTGCTTTTCTCCTTGTGAACAGGCAGAAATGAGGATCGAATGTTTTGACAACAACAGTGAATTCTACTTTTTTGCATTTTTTATACCGGAAAAGCAATTTTACATAGGCGGCCGAAAGGTGGCCATCTGCTTTTCTGCCTTCCAAGGGTCATGAACGGAGTCGTGAACCTCAGGTTATGACCATTTATTTTCTTGGGGTTTGAAGACGTATAAACCAATAATTACAGTTAACCCTATCTTTTATAATGAAATTATTCACATGTTTCCCGTGGCCCAAGCAAGCTTGTGCGTCTATTGGATTACAGTTGTAAAACATTGTATTTTCGTTGAGATGCTGTTTTCTCGGGCTCACAGGGGCACTGATACTGCCGTATGGGATTGGTCCGTAAAAAGCATGGGTAAGTATTGGTTTCTACATCTTCATTCCCCCAGAACGGAAATGGTCGTAACCTACCGGTTCATGACCCCATTCACAGCCCATCGAGGACAGAAAAGGCCACCTATGTAAAATCTGCTTCTCCGGTATCACAAAAGCAGAAAAGTAGAAAAGTTGAATTCACGGTTGTCGTCAAAACGTTCAATCCACTTTCCTGCTTGTCTGACAGGTAAAAAGCAGATAGCCACTTTTTGGCCGCCATCAAAAGAGGAAAAGTGAAACTACTTTTGTAGTAGCAGAAAAGTGGAAAAGTCGAAAATAGCATGTTACAAAGATGTAAAATCTGCTTTTCTACTTTTCTGATAGCAGAAAAGCAGATGGCCAATTTTCACCCTCCATACTTACGAGGGTATGGCGAAAACACTTGCCCTGAATGCAACACTTTGAAGGGAAGGGCTGTGAACCTCTGGGACAGAATATCACGCTAGATTTTGCTTGACCTTAACAGTCCTGAATCCTTCAATTTTAGTATGATTTGGCACATACCTTAGGGACTTAGGGAGCATTTACATTTGATTGCTGATTTCATTATTAACCAAACCAACAAACGGCCACAACTGCAAGTTTTAGTTCACAAAGAAAATTTGAGTGGCGGCATTCCCTGAGGTGACATTGACAGCCATGATCTAGACCGATTCACTGTTGCCATTACTGTGGTGTCCCTGTCACTCAGGCACACATTCCCAGGCTTGACGAGCGTGTGATTTTGTTTAGCAGTGGGCTCCTGTTTCTGATTCTTGTCACCGGATCCGTCTGTATCATGGAGCACTTACTTTTTCCTTCGGTAGAATTCTTTACCAAGGTGGACATGCATGAGCCTGAAGATTCTCTCATCGGCCAGGAAGATGTCGTATCGTTTGGCCAACTGTCTGCGAGAGTCAAACGCCTGGTACTCCTTCTTCAGTACCTGCAGGGGCATCACCTATAAACAGTACCGGCAAAGCACTTGATTGATTAGTTTCTCACCCTGCTAGGTCTATTCAATGGACTGCGCAGACAGAAGGGGGCGCTGTGCCCCCCCTAGAAAAATACTAGCTACGCCATAGGACAGAAGGGGATGCTGTACCCCCCCCTAGAAAAATACTAGCTACGCCATAGGACAGAAGGGGATGCTGTACCCCCCCTAGAAAAATACTAGCTACGCCATAGGACAGAAGGGGATGAGAGCAAGTGAAGCACATGTAATTTCATTCACTGAATCACACTTGTTCATCAATTTGCACAGAAGACCAGGAATGTACACAGCTGTGTACCAGAAGAAAGTGGGCTGGTTCCCACACCCCCATTAAATCCTTGGTTCTAACATCCCCATTTAAATCTTAGATTTAAAGCAGAGTACAAAGGATGTGGTCCACTACAAGTGCTCTTACATCACTGGTACCCAGTACATGTACATGTACGTACTGATATTTCATGTTAAAAATCACTGCAAACCAGCCAAGCACCGGTCACTGACAACTGGCCTATATATGAACTCCAGAATCTAACCTGTGACCCCTTGTGACCTCTAACAGACATCTAATCCACAGACATCATATACAAAATTCCGAGTTTGCAATGCCTTGGTACCAACTGAAGTCACTGTTGGCCATTTTACTGTGCCAAATAGAAAGAGAATGGTTGGCTGCTTGTCACTGTGACTGTTGATGCCAGGGATGAATTTGGTTAACAACAGTATTCAAGCAAGCATTTACATTACCTTTGTATTCAGCACAGTAAGATGGCTGCTGGTGGCTTCAATGACCTTTGTGTGCTTAGGGCATTACA